TATCTAAGATTTTCCCTAATGGCTTTAATATGGGACCCTATATATGAATAGTTTTCAAAGGGTTTCAGGGGCCAACCCAGCTTGGGTTTTAAGGTCCACTTCTCAGACATAGAGAATGTTCGGCACATGTGCTTACACGGGGTTGGTGGAAAATTTGGGATGCAGAATGTGGGGCCTTTGTTCCCTGATTCCCCATTCAAAAGCCAGTGACTATGGAAAATACCAGGCAATCATAGGGGTTCCTATGGCGAAGGACTGCATGGGTAATGTTGAGGATCCAAATCAGCTGTCTTTGTTGGGGCCCATAGCTGTAAGAGGAGAATGTCTTGGGTGGTGCTGCCCGTAGGAACTGAAGGAATGGTGAAAAGTCTGAAACCTTGTATACTATTGGGGGATACACACACACACACATATATATATATATACATACATGATGCTATAGGGGCCACCCGGTACACCCCACCCCACCCTAAACCTTAAACCGAGGCGTTAATTTCCACCTCTTTTCCCTTTCTTCATTTTCAGCTAGCCAGTAGCAGATGACCGGGGCTATTGGTCCACAGGTTTGGGGGACAAGGGGGACCATGTATAATCCCCCTCCCCTAATATTAAACCTCCCCACCCCCCTTAATACTAGATATTCCCTATATACTACAGTATGCCACAATGGGGATTATTTAAAATTAGGGGGTGGGGAGTTTTAATAGAAGAGGAGGGGATTTGAATTCCATGTCCCTAATGATAACCCACCCCCTGCTAGTAGTAGTCCCCAGGTTTCACCACGGTATCATGCTGGCGGTGTTCATCATAACGGGGTGGTAGGGTTTATTCTTTGCGGGAGGGGGAGACATTATTGGGTAGTAGGATCATGTGAGGTACCCCCCCCCAATTGTTTTACAAGTGGTTTCACAACTAGTTCTTGTTCTAGTGGCATTCTGATTAGCACTTCAGATGTTGACGGAGATAGTGTGCGGGTGCATGGCCTGGATCCTTATAGCAGTCCCCTTTTAAGCCATTACAGTAGTTTCCATTTTCTGTCTCATCCTTCATTCACAGCTAGCCAAACCTTACACCCTAAACCCTAAAATCATAAACCCTAATTAAACCCTACACCCTAAACCTCCAGCTGACCAAAGGCCAGACGGGAGAGTTTAAGCATCTACCAGCCTTGAATCCGTACTTCAGCTTTGATCCCCTCCCCCTACTTGGAGGGTCAGGGGGACTTAGTAAGTAGGTTGGTAACCCCTATAACATAATAACCCTTGCTATCCCCATTATTCAGCTACTTATTAAGTCTGCCTGACCCTCCAAGTGATATTAAACCCCCGCACCCCTCCCCTCCTAATATTAAATACTCCCATTATACGATAATGTACCAGAATGGGGAGTATTAAATATCAGGGGGGGTGGGTGGTTTAGTATAAGGGGGAGGGGATTACTAGGAAACAAGAAGTCATGACAGTGCCTGGTGTGAGGCAGAGGGATCACGAGTGTCCCTGGCTCAGCAGCTACGAGTCTCCGGCGCTGCCTGCCGCCACTCGATGTCGCACCACTAAGGATTAAAAGATGAAATGACATGAACACTGCTATGATCGGGTTAAGGGTAAAGGGATAGTGGAGATCAAGTGAGACAGAAGACGAAACGATATGTAAACTGAGTTCATATATGTATATATATATATATGGATGGCATAGGCCGAAATCATTCGCAGGACCAAAAGCAACACGCAATGAGGCACGCCAGCTGTACTATTAAGGTCGAGTTTCTGCTTGAACAAGGTGCTGCAGCTCAAAGCCTCAATAGTTTATTTTGGACGGCTGATGATGACCAATCGCCAATAGCAAGTGGTCCCCGCAGCGGTGTGCCGTTTTGGGCAGACTTCCTTTCTACACCCCTGGTACGACCTAGAAGCAGATCCCCATTCCTACAGACGACAGCCACGTAGAGTGTTATAGTCCCCCTTAAGTAGATCGAATATGGCTTTGGGTATATTATAATAAGATCCCCATATACCCCAAATTCTACTTTAAGGGGACTATAAGTTGGTACTACTTTCTAGATTTTCTCATGGGCTTGGGTCGATGCATTGCCCGAGTGCATGTCATCAGGTTACCTCAGCATCAACTGTATGGTGCTCCAACCTGGCGTCCGCTGTTTGCAAGCAGAGGGTCACTAATATTTGAGCTACGGTGTAAACTCCTAGTATCCCTCGCTATAGCCCCTATAAGACTCCCCAAGATGATCCCTATAGAAATCCCCCTAGGGAACTGAGACTATGGCTCATTTGCGGTTTAGGGGTTAGGGTTCAGGGCCCAAGTTGCTGAATTGGCCTAGGCTCAGCTAGTTAGATCCTAAGCCGGTGTGGCCCGTCTACAGGGCATCGGAAACAGATCCCTATGGCAGTCATGATACAAGCCGCCGTATATATATATATATACACATGCACACATAACAGGAGTTACTGTTTATACAGCAAATTGAAAGAAAATTGAATGTACCGATGTACCGTATTATTCAGGGTTTGGGCTAAGGGACTTAGACAGCTGGAGTAGTGCAGAATCAAAAGGAAAAACAATGAAATATGAGACGGAAATCAGAAGGTATGGACACAATAATTACGTACTCCCGCATGCCTATAATTACGTACTCCCACATGCCTTACTACAAGCACCAGGGAGCCATAGCCATGCCGAGACATCACCCGCTCTTCAGCCACTCGTTCAGAGAACGAGCAGGTAGGTATTCTATGTGGCGATTTTGCAAGGAATCCGCTAAACCCTAAATCCCCTGAAGTCCTGAACCGTAAACCCTAGACCCTTACGTGGGGACCACGGCGCGGATCCTTTGCTTCATTCCCTTCTCACCACGAATCCCCTGGCCATGACACATGGATCTAACGCGTCCCTGGGCTTAGGGTTTAGGGTTTAGGGTGGGCAAGGATTTGCGCCAGCTTTCCAGATACTGCCGCGCCGTCGAAATGCTGCAGTTACGGCAGCTTGGATAGCAGATGGGCAAGCTCCTACAGCAAAGCGTGACCATGAACGACACAGCGAATGTCATTTTCTCCTCCATTCCCCTTATACAATCCGTATATATAACCTCTATATACCTCTATATAATCCTTACATATGCCTATTCAATCCTTGTGTATCAGTGTAATCCCTTGAAAGCGGCCCTCCTTGCTTTCTTGAGGTGGCTGGGGCCAGAGATGGAAGGCATCGATGCTGATTGGCTCGGTACATGGGCTGGCACGCTGAAACTGATGCTTGCTTGAGTATTATGGCTAGGTACCCTAGCCGTACTCTTCTTCCCTTTCAAGTTTGGTGGTCTCCTCATTAAAGATGAACGTTTGGTACTGAGGAACCTAGACTATGATGAGAGAAACGATTTAGCCAATTTAGGGTTTGGGGTTTTGGTTCGTTATTAAATTAGGGGGCTTGCAGGCATACATTCCTACTTAGAGAAGTACCCGTGAACCTTCAACTAGGGTCCTCGGGTTAATTGCGAGGAAAATCTAGCTTCGGGGCCGAATTACCCTACTTCTAACTGCCTATGAACCTCCCAGTAGGGTTCGGATTTCTCAGTAGCTGAGTAGAGCTGGGGGGAACCTATGGAGTCTACAGAAGCCTTTTGGTAAACCTTCCGTGGGCCACGAAACTTAGCAGCTAGCTTGTGTGAGCTTAGTTGTAACTTTTGCTACTGATAAATGACAACACCGAGCAGCGACAGCTCAACAGACACGCGTGCATTGTGTGGCAAAGGGCCACCCACCTGTTACACGTTGTCAGCGCAAGCCATAATTACTTCCTAAATCATTACTCTGACTATAAGTATTATTGCCAATATTATTAGTATTCTTCTGCTTAATATTTGTAACAGTATTATTTTCTAGGATTAGTGATATTACCATTATTCCTTCGGTTATTGAAACTTGCTTCTGAGGCTGACTGTGCATTTTTGGTACGATGACTGCTTGGGATCTCCGCAAGTATTGGAGGCAGGGTTTAGGGTTTAGGATCGTTTTCATTCCGGTGTGTTGCAGGCAGCGTAGGCCATGACATGAAAGCATGTGGCTAGAGCTGAAGTTAGTGCACCGCCCGGGATCCCCAACATATTGTAAATGCCAGAGAAGAGTTTAGAGGATATGAGCGACAGATAAATTTCCGTCTCTTGACACATGTCTCATGTCGGTCAGAAGTCAGAAATCCTCAAAATCATACGCTGCTTAACCTGTAAAACGAGATGCTCCCCCCCAAATAACGAGATCAGCTTTTTTGTGGTTGAATGCAAACTTGTTGGAAAAACAAGATTCAAGGCCCGACTCAAGTGCTATAAAACGAGATAGTAGTAGATTTGGTCAGTTGGTCTCAAGCCGAGTAGGAACGAGATGCTCTCCCCAACATGCTCTGGAGTATGTGAAACGAGATGGAACGAGATTGCAGCACGAGCACGGGAGTGTTGACCATAGGCCAGACAACAAGTTTTGTCCGCTGCTCATATATAGTGAGGCAACATTTCCCTGAGCCCCAGTAGTTGATGACAACCTCCAGGGGACGGGATTGGGGGTCATGTGAGCATTTCTATGAGCATCCTCGTTTTGGGTATAGTATCTCATGTTGCCCTGACGCGCAAGTGTGAGTGCTCCCGTCTTTCCAAGCATTTGGCTCTGTCTTGCTGCCGCTCAAGTGGGGGTGATGGAGTGAGCATAGGCATTTTAATTCAGCTTTGCATATGAGCTAGAGTCCAAACTCCTTGAACCTGACTAATAGGGGATTGTATAGGGGAGTATTCCAGGGGTTGTTAGGGGGATACTAGGAGTTTAGGCTACGGCTCGCAGAACCCCAATGTACCCCTTTTCTAGTGCGGAGGTTCACTCCCGACTCGCCACACTCCCTTCAGCACCAGTCAGCTGTTGTTTCCAAAACTAGGGGGGGCTGAATATATAAAAAGCCGGTTTCAAAACAAACTTCCCCTTTGGGTGCTCTAAAGCCAATTTATGCACAGGCATCCCTATATACCTTGTATTTCTATGAGCTTCAAAGGGGGCCCCACATTTTGGAACCCCTATCTGGTTTTTTGTTAGACGCTTGCTCCTGTGCTTGATCTCCCCGAGGTGACGACCCTGGTCCTCAAGACCTGCCTGGCTTTGGAGGCGCAGGGGGTGACAACAGCAATAAAGGGAGTAGAAAAAAAGCAGACAGGGAACGCCAAGAATATGGTAGGAATATCGAAGAAGGAATATACCTACCAGGTAACGGTAGCAACAGCAATGTGAATGATAGCGGCAATTGTCAGAACTGTAATTACGGCACTGCTCGGAACGGTCATGATCTCAAGAATTTGAAGTCATCTTTCTTAAAAGCAGTACCTGAAAGCAGCAGTAGGAATTGTGGTAATGATGGTGGCGGCGGTGGTGTTGGTGGCGGCGGCACTAGCTAGTACTAGTGGCAATTCAAGTATGGTGCTGCACAACACAACATAGTGAAGCAAATTCAACACCCAGGCCATCTGCATCACCGGCATCGACTGGCCCAGGGCAAAGGCAGCCATCCTCCAGGCGCTCCGAATGCTCCTGCAGCCAACGTCTGCTGGGCTTGGCAGGACTGTTGTTTGTAATATCTCCGCATTGCTCCTCCATTTCAGTGACTACTGCTGTTTGTTAATTCTACTTCGACAGTCGTCACCATCACAACAGCTTCTGCCTCCACTTGTGTTGAGGATGGGCACCAGGCAGCGCCGGTCAACTTTACAAAGGCTCTCACTCGAGGGCTCTCAGGCATGGCACGAAGACGCAGCTTGCTTGCAACTTGTGAAGACAAAATGGGTGCGTGTAGGTGGCATGTTTGCATGCATCCTGCCTGTACATGTGCCGTGTCTGGGTCATGTGATGAGAGCAACGCAAGGAACTTGCGATGATCAAGGGCATGATCCCACGGGTGGAGGTCACAGTCGTAGCCGACCGGACGCGATAATCTCAAAGCTTGATTTCGCATCTTGATTGGGAAGCCGTGCTAGCAACGAAACTGAAGAGCCGCCATTTGGAATGCCTTCTGCCAGCCGCGGCTCCTCGAGTTTGATATCCTAGCCATCCAGCAAAATTATTCTTGTCGTGTTGCTGAGATATCACGCTTTCGCACATCAAGAAGGAAAGAAGACGCCTTGCGCAAGCAGCCAGAGAGCTATGCTGCCATGGAGAAGCAATGTGCATCAGCCCGGAGCAGCTGAAGAACAATTTCCCTACTGCAAGTCCTGTGTCTTCTTTGGGATGAAGGTCCCTTTCATGCTGCGCATGTGAGGCGAATTATATACGCGCGGCTAGGTGTGGAGAGAGATTCCGCACTTTGCCTTAGCTGGTTAGCTGGGCGTGACCCGCTTGACCCCTGCACGCCCCTCAGAGCCAGGAAGAACGCACTCGGCATGTTCTGGTGGGCGCCAGAAGACTGCGCCTTGCAGCGGTGACTGACTGGCATGCCATTTGAGCTGATTGTATTGGGGATACGAACGGGGATATTAGGAGTTTAGGCCATAGCTCCTTTCATCATGTACCGTCAAAACTTGCTGTGTTTGCTGATGGGAGAAGAAAGACGTTTCATCGCTTGGACGAAGAACTTCCAAGAAGTTCTGGCAGGAGTTTAAGCAGCCTCGCTGTAGCCGAAGAGCCCGGCTCACTTTGGTAGTTTCCCTAGATTGGGGACCCCAATGTAGGGACAAAACAGTCTATTCCTTATTCTGGGGACCACCCCCTCAAAAAAGAAGAGGATCCCTTATTTGGGGAAACTTCCACTTCGCCAGTCGCCAGTAGCATGCGACCTGCCACTTGTGCAAGTCGAACCCGAACGGGCACCGACCAAGCAGGTAGATCATGCAAGCCCAAAGGAGAACGGCTGCTGCATCACAGAAGACAGCAAAAAGCAACAACTGGGCAAGAAGCCTTCTAAACTAGTATTTGACCATAGCCACCCTATTCTCGAGTCCGTAAACCCTAAACCACTTACAGCAGAGTCATTCCATCCGTAACTCCACTTGTAAGAACATATGTAAGGGGACCCCAATATAGACCCCAAAATACTATAGTCCTTATTTTGGGGACCCCTAAAACGGTACCCCTAAGTTTGGGAAACCCCATGGGCCTGAAGGGACACCTGCCTTTGACGCCCAGGCGTGGCAAGACTACACTTCCAGCCTAAGCCTCGGAAAGCCTGAGCTTTCATCTAGGGTTTAGGGTTAAGGGTTTAGGGTTAAGGGTTTAGGGTTTAGGGTCAATAGGAGCTATAGTCTAAACTCCTTAAATGAGGGTTATAGAGGGGATTAGAAGGATTATTGTAGGGGTTACTAAGGGGGATGCTAGGAGTTTAGACTAAAGCTCATATAGGGTTTGGGAGTTTAAGCTTTGTGGGTTTAGGGTTTTGGTGTTTTGGCGTTAGGGTTTAGGGTCGTGATACAGTATTGAACCATGCGCCATCTATAGCAAGAAACACCTTTCTGTTAATAGAGACTAATGGAGAACCAAGCGGAAACTGAAGCGGAAAGCAGATCGGGTATGGGTTGCTATATAGGGCTTACTGGTGGTGGTGAGTAGGGGAGGGAGGAACGGATTGCAAAATGAAACTGCTGTAGTATTGGGGGTTGTAGAGGGTGGAACAACATCAAGAATCAATTTCCCCCATTCCCCACTGACCACCAGTAAGTGAGTGCACGTGCCGTCGATGTGCATAAGTTAGAGTCTTTGGCGTGTCCATCCGTGCTTGATTCAGTTTGAGCGGTCTTCCGATGCTTTTGACGAATTTGATCATATTGTTCAGTGTCATGCTCGGCCATTCTTGAAATTGCGTTTGATTGCCTCATGGCATGCTAAACACCAAGATGGAGTGCAAGCAAGCCATAATTCACAAAGTCCCACGACAGAACCTAGATGAAGGATGTTGACTTCGCTGCTGTTGTCACTCAAGCCTGTGGCCCCCAGCCTATCAGTAGCAAGCATGTGGGCGCGATTCCAGCGCAGAGCGTGCGCAGCTCTAGTCAGGCTGCAGCCTGCTTCGCCCAGAAAGGTGGGCAAGAGACAGACATGATGATGGTTTAGGGTTTAGGGGTTTAGGGTTTAGGGGTTTAGGGTTTGATGGTGACGATGATGATGGTGTCCCCCTTAAGTAGATAGAATATGGGGTAATATTAGGGTTATATTAGGGCTATATGGGGTAATGGAAAAGAAAATGGAAACTACTATTATATTGATGGTGATGATGGTGATGATGGTGATGGTGGTGATGGTGGTGATGGTGATGATGGTGATGATGGTGGTGATGTAGTCACCGTCGTGGCTCCAGACAAATTGGTGACAAGACTCGTGGCATGAGTGGGAGTAGTGCAGCTGCTTAAATTGCATGGCTGGAAAGGCGGCAAACGCAGTACCCATATACCCCATATTCTATCTACGTAAGGGGGACTACAACCCCAATATATACCCTATTATAATATAGTAGTCTCAATTTTCTTTGCCATCATACCTATATAACCCTTCTAAAACAGTAATCACTCTTCTCTTGCCAGGCTGTTGGAGTTGTCGGATCTTGAATACCTAACCCACAGGGTCCAAGGACCCAACAAGTAGGTACTTGGGCTTTAGGGAATAGTAATTATGGTACTGGTTTTGGGTAAGTATATGATTATTAGGCACTTGGACCCTTAGGGTAATATGCCTCAAAGCACTATTCTCATTCTTCAGGCCCCCTCCACTTTACCCTTAAACGCTAAACCCTACACCCTAAGCCTCATTAACCTTAAACCATGAACCCCAAACTGTAAACCCCACTACCCTTAAACCCTCAACCCCGAACCCTAAACTCCATTACCTTTAAACCCTAATCCCTAAACCCCATTACCCTTAAACCCCTAAGCCTCACTAGGGACTGCTACCGCTTCTCGCATTCGGCGCCGGAACTGGCGTGCTGGTGTTAAAGCAACCTGGGAGATCACCATGCGCCTTGGCTGTTCTGCATTCCTGTACAACAACTGCTGCCTGCTGGATCAAAGTCCCCAAGAAAACCAAGTGCGGCAGAGTCTCCCAAAACTACGCCTATAGAATGCTTAGGTACCCGCATAGCCTCTTGCAATCCCTAAGCCTTCGTTATGAGAAACCTCCAAATCAGGGCTCCCAAAAACAGACGGTGTCATGTGTCTAGTTAGCTTGTTAGGGCGGAGCACAGAGCAACAGTGGGGGTCCAAGTCAATGTCGGGTTAGTAGAATTCCTCAATGTTCTCGATACGTTTTCATGGTAGTTTTGTTGAAGCATTGCTGCTGAACTTCTCATGGGAAACCATGCCCCGTAATTTGCTTTATAAAGTTAGCTTCCATTGGGTTCGCCCCGTGCCGGCACAGTGACTTGCGCAGTGCTTTCTTCCAGCTTGTTAGGGACGTCAGAGCACCGTTCTGACTATTTGGATGTTTCCGACAATTGGGGGTTACCTTCATCAGGTCCTTATACCTGGGAAAGTACCATGTGTCATCGTGGTTTGAATTCTGCGGCTTCTTCACATAAGCCGCAGCAACCCTACTACGGCTATCACGTCATATCACCTCTCTACAGACTATTACCCACACATCCTGAACTAACCCTAAGCCCTAGACCCTAAACTCCAAACCTTGCATACTGTCCCCACCCTATAGCCCACCCTGTAGCGGTCATTCGCAGGACCCTTATGAATGGCTTACCCCAGTTACAGTTAGAAATATTGCCAGATTGTCATTAAAGGGTAGAGATATGCTTTGCCCCTACACCCTAAAATCCGCAAAGCTTGACCCAAAACCCGTGAACCCCAAACAGGGGTTTGCAAACACAGGGGGACCCCAATTTACTCCTGAGATCCTAACCTCCACACGCTATACATATGTATATGTGCATGCATATATAAGCCTCTATATCCCCTATAACCCCTTAAAGGGACCCCTTATTTAGGAAACCCTAAATCCTGTCAACGCATTTTTCACTTTGTTTCCCATTGCATTTGCCGTTTGATTCTCCATTAATTCCTTTTTCAGTCCCCCCTCTATATCCGTATGCAACCCCAATATAACCTTACATGACCCATACATATGATATTGCTACAAAGCAGCTTTCATGTTCTTCTCCATTCCCCCGTATGTATCCCTACATTACCCGCAATGTAATATCCCTAAATCCTACATTTTCCTTGTGCCTGAACCTCTCAGCACGCCATCCCTAAACCCTAATCCCTACACCCTGAACCCATAACCCTAATCCCTAAACCCATATAAATCCTAATCCTTAAGCCCTAGTCCCTAAACCCTAACCGTAAACCGGAAACCCGAAACCTTAAATCCTAAACCCATATCCCTAGACCTTAAACCCCAAACCCTCAACCCTCAGGGGCTGCTTCCAGGTTCCGCGGAGACGCAAAAGGTGGCCTTGATCACGGGAAGCTCCACGGGCATTGGCAAGGCTGGGGTTATGGGTTTAGGGTTCAGGGTTATGGGTATAGGATTTTGGCTTCATGGTTTAGGGTTTGGAGGTATGGGTTTATATAGGCTTCAGAGTTCAGGGTTTAGGGATTTAATGGGTTTTTGGCACGGGTGAATTTTTGTTTCTACAGTTATGACTATTGCTTTTACTCATTTTTCTGCTACCACTATCACTATGAATATTTTTACCTGTACTATTACTATAGCTAGTATTGTTATTATTATTATTATTATTAGTCATCGTCCTCGTCGTCCTCGTCGTCCTTTTCCTCGTCCTCCTCGTCCTCGTCATCGTCTTTTGTATTTCATCTACAGTACTGTTTCTACTATTAGTTTCTCTTATTAGTATCGATGTTACCATCACCTTGAGGATGTTTGGTGGTTGAGGTTGGGGCATGTTAGTGCTTAGATATGACCACATAACATACTCTTTTGTATAGTGAAAGCTGGTTCTGGCAAACCGCCTGCTAGGCCCGGCAGATCAGCCATATGGTT